TTATTATGAATTTGATTACATCTTTCTATAGAACTAAACATCCTATCTAGGGTTTGATTAACCAAAACTAGAGATTATGTTTTGATTTTAATTAGTTATTTCATAGAGATTTTCCTATTCCGTTTATTTGTGTTGTTTATTCTCCATGCTTTCAAATAATTGGCGAATAATTGAATGATTTGATTGTTTAAGTTTCGGCACTCGAGATAGGAAATCTTAGACGTGATCTTAGAATAACACAATTTAGGAATGTTTCGAAAGAAAGTATAATCCCTTTAAAGTCGTTTCACATAAGAATCAAGAACTTGATAATTCCTTGACTTTTAATTTGGAATAGAGATAAAGAAATTGAATTATAGGAATAACTTTTACTCTGCACTCGAGAGAGAGAGAGAGAGTAGAATTACATTAAGGTTCTTGCTTTTAAACTTGAGAAAAATAATTAGAGATAACTAGATAGTTGAGAAACGTTGTTGATAGTTAGGTGAAATCAAAACCCTAGGTTTTCTCCTATTGATTAAATCCTTCAAACTTGCATACAATTAGTTGAGTTTGTCACAAAAATCACGTAGGTTTAGACAAAATATTGATAACATAAATTTGATTGGCTAGATAAGATAGAAGCTAATCCATTATAGTACTTAGTAATAATTTTATATTTAATCCATGTGGGCTCGACATCCTAATTCCATAGGTATATATAAAATTTGATACTGTACACTAGCGGTAAAATTGCAGTGTAGTAAATGCTTAATAATAAATAATTCCAATATATACATCACTGTTAGCTAGGCCATCTAATCCACACAAGCATATAAAAACAATAAAATAAAAAAAATTACTATATAACACACAAGAAGCATGTAAAACAATTAAAACACAAAAAATCGACGATAATATCCCACATCCAAACTTAAAATGTGCATTTCCCTCAATGTACAAAAATATAGCACTAAGTATGCAAAAAAGGGGGGGAGGAGGGGGGCAAAAAAGGAAAATTGAATACTCCCTTTGTTAAGCCGAAGGTGGTGGATGAAATGACAGTAAAGTGCGAGAGCTAAATGGTCTGCTTGATATCATCATCCCATTGGCCATTATTGGTTTGAGTGTTCCTCAATATTATATTCTTGTAAAACGAATAAAAATCAAACATTAATGACCAAATAAAATGGAACAAATAATTCTAAACCCAAAACATCTCACAACCAACAAGAAATTCAATGGAAGAAGGGAAAACGAAATAGTAGGCAAGTTACGGCCACAAGTTACTGTTCACAATTTTTTTATTTTATTTTGGATGAATGATGACACGTGACAAAAAATAAAGTCCATATCCTATATCTAGAAAGCGTAATAAATAAAAGGGAAGAAAAATTAGGTTGTATTCCAATAAACGCTTGTTTATAATTATTAGCTTGACTTTAGCAATCTGCATCTTGAATAAACCTTTTGATGCCATGCTCAATTCGCTTCTTTTGACTTTGCTACACTCTTTGTTGATTATCCAAATTTTGACATTGCCCTTCTTCAATTTCGTATGACTTACATATTCCATCCAATATGAAATCAATTATGTGGACTTCTTCCTCCTCCTCAAGCTTTAATCACAAATTCAATTGTTGGGCAATCAATGAAGTTGAAATAATGTGTTAATTTCATCTTCATTAATTGCCACTTCTCCGCTTGCTTCCTTTGTAATTAATTTTTCATCATCTTTATGCTCTTCTTCAATAATTGATATATTCTTGAGTTGAATGACTGGTTCATAGTCTAAATCCACGGGAAATGGCAATTCTTTCCTTTAAACATTTTCTAGTGGATTATATCCCCACACTTTTAAATTCATCCCAGTATACGTCATCTCCCACGCGCATTTTGTTTTCATCCGACTTGACTGTTCATTATAATATTTTGTAAGCACCTCCTCATTCAACAAGGAAGTACCAACTCCCACACGCATGTTTGAATTGCTAGTTTTCGACATCTTAAGTATTGTTTAAACCGCAGAAGCTTGAACTTAATATACAAGTAGTGTTCAATATAATGCATCACATAACAAAGCTCACGATATATGTCTACTACAAGCATTTCCTCATCATCCATGTCGAGATTAATTATTGCAAAAGCTTTTCTACTTTGCCAACGTTAGGATTTCGCATACATTATTGAAAGCATTTGGAAAGAACACCAAATACAAGAAAGATCGGAATTGTGCTGGATGGTTAAAAAAAAAAGAACAATTGAATCTAATATCAACTAACAAAACTAGAATTAAACAAATTATTCCCTGACAAAAAGGCCAAAAACATGTTCAGACAAACCCGCAAGGATACAGGATCGTTGACAAATAATAGATTTAGTGAGTTGAGATATCGTCCCATAGTGAATAATTGCTAACTATAGTCTACCGATTTCTATCAAATTTGATCTACGTGACACAAAAAATTTGATTATTTTGTAATTATTATATCTTACATTACGTATTATAAAAAGATTGTTTTTATCAAATAATAAGATGGATGCATTGGATTTCAAAACCCACCTATTGATTTATATTCCCAATTCTCGACTTATATAAGTTAGTGTAAGTTAGGTGTTCATGACAATCGATAATCAACTAACATCTAATATTCTTTTTCAAAATATATTAAACGTATCCTCAGCACAACCTGACCATATTCCTAATCCGAATTTATATGCAAAGTAAGCATTCAATCATACGATTGAACACAACATAAGTATTATTCATAACACATTGTCTATGTGTCAATTGTGCAATGTTCTAACATATTGCGAGTCTCTCAACACTACAATAAGCAACAAATTATCTAATTGATAACTAAGTAATCGAATGACGCAATAAGCATGCATAATTAATCACAAAACACAAGAAAATAACTAGAATACGATATGTCTTGAATTAGAAATATAACTCAAAAGGTTGCATCATTTATCCAATATACAAGAAATTTAGCCTAACATTATGATATTCAAATTATACAATAAGATATGGAAAGACATCACCCAAAGTAACGAAATAGATAAAGAACTCAAAAACTTGATTTCTTGCGCACAATCTTCAATTCGAGCTTTGAAATTTCAAATCTTATTGTAATATTTTTCTTCGCCGCTTGCTAGACTCTGTTCAATGATAAAATAATAGTTTTTCATGTTCTGGACCTTGTTTAGGTTATATAAGATACTAAAGATACCATTTTATACAAAGCCAAACTAAGAAAAATGAAACAAAATCTTCAATGATAAGGCCATTTTTGGCTTCAGGAGGTCCAAGGAAAAGATCAGGCGGCACCTAGAAATTTGTATTGGGCGCGCCTAGTTATGTTTCGAGCAGCCATCATTATGTTTATCATAACTTTCTTTCCTGTTATACGATTGAAGCAATTCAAAGTGAGTTGGAAAGAGAAGTAAAATGGTTACAATTCTTCTACAAGTATCATTTTTCCAATTCGAACAATTACTATTCCAAAAATGGGTCTCAATCTGAGGCTGAAATTTCCAAACATAACTTTTTTTTATTAGAAATTGATGTATGATAATATTTTGACTATATTTAACCACATTTGGTTCTTTTCTTATTCAATTGACCCCTAGCACATCTCGAATTTTCATTTTGAGGCCAGACACAAATTTTAAGCATTTACACTTTAGTTTCCGAACTTTGGATCTCTTACAATTTAGCCAATTTTCACCATTTTTCTCCAATTCCATCATTTATGTCGATTTTTACCTAACAAACACAATATTCATAGAATTAAATCATAATTCATCGAAATAACCAATAGACTTTCGTAACATAAATACCTGAATAAGTGTACAAAATACACTTATGAGATTGATTCGAATTAAAATTGTAAGGTCATTGAAAACTTTTTAGACAAAACAAGAAAACACTTTGACCAAACCATCTATTTTTCTTTGTTTATTGCATGGGCACATCTTATTTCAAGATTCATCGACTCGCTTGACTGAAATCCTTTTTCCAATCTACTTAGGGAACCAATTCCATGGAAAATGGAATTTGTTTTTCATTTTCTCACTTTTCATTTGTTTGATAGGTTTTTTTTTCTATGCAAATGTTTTTCCCACTTTTCCTCACACTCACATTTTTTTGTTTTTCCTTGAAATCAGTTTCTCACCAAAGTGGTGGGAAAATTGTTTTCCATGTTTTTTTTTTTCTTTTGCCAATTAGAAAAAATTCTATATACAATGGTAAAAAAAGTTATCACTTTTATTGACAATTTCTATGCAAAACAAAGTTAAACAAATGATATTCGGTATAGTAAAAAAAAAATTCGTAATTTTTTTATAATTTTTTAAAATTTTTTGGCAATTGGAATAAATTATAGACCCAATGGTAGAAAAAATTATCATTTTAATGAATAATTTTCATGAAAAACAAAGTCAAATGGACACCAAACTTTCAATATATTCCAAGTGAAAAATTATACCAATCAAACACAATTAATTACAATTCTCAGTAAAATAATTTTTAAGCAATTCAATTCCCTGAAATTCATTTTCTTTTCACCCATTTACCTACTTTGCTGTCAATCGTACCCTTAATTTTATTTCTTTTTATTTCGATTTTGTTCAGATATTATAACTTAAATTATTACTTTCATATAAATTCTTTCTGGAAATAAGAATTGCTCCTAGAACAAATGTAACAGTACAACGAAAGTAGATTTCACTGAGTCCAATACAAAAATAGGTAGAGCCTCTTTCCCTTTTCTCATTCTCGTTTGTCCTCAATAATCCAGATACAAACAAAAGCACAAGGTTGTGGAGAATTCAGTGCTAACCAGAGGGATCTTATATGGAAACGAAGTGATGATGTACAAACAGCCCAATACAAAACCAAATCTAGTACAGCAGTCACCAAGATTTTAAATACTGAATGTCGAAAACCACAGTTAAATAGCTACTCTACACAATTTTAGTTGTGCTGTTGAAAACTCTCAAATTATGCAGGGTCTTGGTTACATGCCCCAAATGCCACGAGCTGATGCCACTTTATTGCTTGGTCGAGATGTCAATTCGTACAATATTCGAGCAAATGTGTCAGAGTATCTTGTCTCTGTGAAAAGCATCTCTGCAAATGCATTTTCATATGCTAACAGCAGGGGCTTGTTCTGAGGCTCCGATACAAGATTTTCCAAAATTAATGCCGCTTTCCTGCAAACTTCTGGCACTGGGTGTGGTGTCTTGATCACTTTCATCAGCCGATCAACTGCCCTGAAACATATCGCAAGCACAAGTTTACCAAAAGAAGAACTTACAAGTATTTAACCTAGAGAAATATGAGTTGATCTAACCATCTCTCACTAGCGAGTTTTAACCGGCAGTCCATATTAATTTCTGCAAGGTTGTATAGTGCACCAATAGCAGCTGCTTGAGCATCACCAGCCGGGAAGCTCATAATATCAACTAATCGCTTGTAGATCTGCGGTTTTTCATGAACCCTTGTTTAATAAGTCAACTAAGTATATGTTGCAACAAAACATGAACATTATCAGCAACAGTGTTGACCTGTGGAGCAACTGGTAGAAGGAAAGGTTCATTATCAGGATTAAGAATCAAACGCCCAAGTAGTTCTGCAGCAGCACAGTGCCAGGTTCTGACAGCAGATCCCAACATTCCCATGATGGCCTGGACTGCACGTTTTTCTCTGACAGAGAATCAACCATATATTTTTCAGCTCATGAATTATTGAGATGTTTATGAAACAAATAGCAAATCAAAAACTTACGTTATTTTGATGTATGAAGGCTTTGATGAGCTAAATATTCGAAGGTCTAGCAAAGGGCCCAGATTCATGATTGTCTCTAGGGCATTTGTGACAAGCTCTTCATCCTCTGTAAACATTTTAAGGCATTGCAAAGCAGAAAACTTAGAAATGCATAAAGGATTGTGCTACAGAAGCATCCTAAGAAGGAACTAATCCTATAGTATTTTTCAGTAGATTCTCTCCTAGGTCATCGGTATCACCTTAAAAGTGAAGTATGATAATACACAAAGTATAAAAGTGTAACCCTTTTCAACAAGAGGAAAATAGAGGCATGAAACACTTGCAAAAACGAAAAAGTTAATGACATGTTGAATCTCTTTTAACCTATGACATAATCTTCCAAGCACTGAAACATTGTTTCAAGGCAATGACGATTCTGTCCCATTGCAACTTCATTTTCTGGCATAAAAGAAAAGTTACGAATAATATTTGAAGCAGCAACAGCACACTGCTGCTTTTCTGACCGCCCTTCTTCATCCAGATTAAAGATGCCATCTTCCTCAAACCACCAGCCTGAAGGGAAAGGCTTGGTAGCAATCTTCCGTGCGGATGCATCTTTATTGGCAGAACCAGATCTGGTGATGTCATGAATGCAAATAGTTATCAGGTTCTACATGAATACCATCAACATTATTAATTTACACCTCAAAATTACGAAGTTTAATTTATTTGTGCCTTACTTAGGTTGTGGAATGGAATCACCAGAGCTCAATGTCTCATATTCATTCCCGAATCCAGTAACAGTGGAATTTGTACCCAGCAATCTTACTCTTGGCTTCTTCATGAGAACCCTTGGCAGGTTTATATCACGCCAGTCATCGATCTGCCCTTATTACGAGTGATTTCGGCACATTAGCAATGAAAAATACATTATTACATATATGTAATAAAAAGGAGTGAACATATTGAACTGCCAGGCGAGAAACTTACAACTTGAAGTAGAGCATCAAGCAATCCCGGAATCTTGGCAAGAGGAGTTGCATCTTTACGAATTTCATCTTTTTCTTTGAATGAGAGCAACGTGAGAGCATTTAAGGCCCATGTCAACTCACTCTTCAATCCACTTTGAAGAGCCAAAACTATCCTTTTATTATTCTGCTCTGGTAAAGCAATAACAGAAGATGTGAATACAAATGCATGAAAAGTGATAAAACTATTGCAATCATTTCAAATACAACTTGCATTTCCAGTCCTACAGCACACATCACTTTAATTTCTGAGTATCTCTTGAGATTAACCATTCCCATCCTCCACCAGGAAAAAGAAAAAGGACAGTAAGTAAAAAACAGAATGCCAATTCCCTGGTCACTCAATAAAAACAAGATCTAGCAAGCTGGAGAAAGACACCTCAAAATAAAACCCTTCAGCTTATGAAATTCATTTACCCACATTCATGAATTCTAATCCCAACCAACCATGATAAGGCTGAATTTATACCCAATAGAAAGACCAGGAGCTTAGAAAGGAAACTCCCTTGAATGCCCGATGAGGTCAAAATATTCAGTGCATTTGTGTTCCGTAATAGACTATCAAGTAACAAATAAACAAACTTCACAGATCTATTAAGTCTTTCCTCTAACCTAAGTAGTTGTAATGGGATTTATAGTTTCGTTTCAAAAGGTTAATGGCCCTCTGTCTCACTTTTTTCTAATTTGTATACAGTTTTGAAACTAAATGACGAATCATATTCTCTTTCATTTCATATCCGTTAGTGGAATAGCACAACTATCACAACTCCTTTTACAAATTAACCTAATAACTAAAATTATAAAACCCTAATTCAAGTACTAGCACCAAACTCCTTAAAACCCTAACAGTTCTTTTAATTAGCTCTTAATCTTCACAAAATTTCTATTATCCAAATCAAAATTCAAGGCTTTTATCATTCGCCT